TCGGCTCCAGCTCCACGGTTCAGTTTACCCTTCTTTTCACTTTCTTCAGCCTACGCAACATGTCCGCCCCACGGGACACCGGGAAGGGCCCTGTGGAGTCCTCCTCGGCGACAGGGAAGAGGTCAGACGGTGGAAGAAGAGGTCATAACACGAAGACCTTTGACTCCCCTTTCAAGATGGATCCAAAGGCAGATGGGAAACGAGATGACCCCGTTTGGCATTTTGTTGCTCGTGGTCGTTATTTGGACGGGTCCAGTGCGATCGGGAGGAAGAACGGTCGCCGTTGTGTGTGCAGGTTATGCGGGCGTTTCATATGTGGGGGTGCTCGCGATGCAAAGGAACACTTTTTTCGTGGCGAGGGCTACAGATGCGTCGTGGCAACCCCGGCGGTGTGGCACGCGATTTGGTCTAAGGATATGTCAAAATGTCCTGCACATTTGGCTTCTACCGTGCAAGCCTTGCGGAGTCTCCCTTTAGGTCATCCATCTTTCCAATGGTCACCGCTTCGTTTTCCCGAGGACTTTGTTCCACTGCCTCCTTCCACCGCCGCCCCCTCCCAGATGGCGCCATCTCCTCGTGCACCACGTGCTCCGCTCCCCCCTCGTTCCGCGGCAGTCTCACCTGCACCACTTCATGCGATGACTGCAGCGTCCGTTGATGGTGCCGTTCCCGGTGGGTGCGTGAGTGACTCACGTGCCATGCCATCGGTGCCGACGCAGCCTGATGCGTGAGGCACCGCACCAGTTTCGGATGTCTAGGGACCTGTGTTGTTCGACGAGCCAGGGACTCGTGCTTTCGTCGAGGGTCAAGGGTGAGGGAAGGGCGCTGGACATCGAGCGTCCTCGCCCCGGTGTTCACCGCGAACAGGGATAAGGATGCTAGAGTCCGACGAGCAGCCGCACCTCCCCCAGCGGCAGAACAACCCGCGACGGGACATCAGGCTGCTGCGTATCCATGGTTGCCGCCCCCTCCTTCGCAGACACGTGGACGGGCACCAGACTTCACTTCCGCACATGTTTGCGAGGCCGCCGCAACGGTCCCTGCGGGGGCTGACACCATCCCGCTCGACGAGCCCATTCAAGTTTCGGATTCGTCACCCACTCCTGCGTCCGTGACAGCCCCGACCTCGCAGCACGGTTTCTTTGGGACATTGGATCCTCTGTAAAATTTGCGCAACATTGTTGCTCCGAGCCCAGGCCCACCTGCATCACTTGCGACTGTCGGCGGGGTGTGGGATTCGCTAGGTTGCGGCGCCGGTGCACGAGTGAAGGGCACTTACAGGCAACAGGCGGTGACATCGTATTACAACGACCCACTGGAGCACGCATGGCACATGCAAATCATGCTATTTCTTGTCAAGAGCGGCATGGCATTCAATTGCGTGAAGCTTGAGAGCTTCAAACGCATGTTGACAATGATCATCCCACCTGGGGTTCCCGGGTTGCCCACCCCGAAACCCCCGACATATCACATGATCCGTACCTCGCTTTTGGATGAGCTTGATGCGGAAGTTCAAAAGTGTGTGAAACCCGTCCTTGCTACTTCGGCAACCTACGGATGCACGATCATGACAGACGGGTGGACCAACATTCGGGGCCAAACGTTGTGCAACTACCTCGTCGGGACCACGCGGGGCGTGACATACGTCGCGACAGATGTCATGCGAGGAAAAAAGGATGCCGCCGCTCTGGCGCAGGCTTGGCTGCGAAGGTTGAAGTCCCTTGACATCAAGCTCGCAGACATCACCGCGTTCGTCACAGACTCGGCTAGTTCCAACGTTTCTGCGATGGAGGTGTTCCAGAAGGATGAAAGTGTTAAGCACATCTTCTGGATTCCTTGTGTGGCGCACGTCATGGACCTCATCCTTGAGCACATCGGCGACATTGAGTGGGTGGCGACCCGCATTGCTCAGGCGCGGGTGGTCACAAAGTTTTTCAAGCGTCATAGCCATGCTCGCGAGGTCTTGCAATCTTTCTCGACAGCTGCACTGTTGCTTCCTGCCGAGACTCGCTTCGGCACGCATGTCATTATGATGCGGCGGCTTCTTAAGTTGCAATCGTATCTCATGAGGGCGGTGATCGACGATCGGTGGAAGGACACTGTTTGGGCGACGAAGAAGATTAGAGACGACGCCGCGGAGGTCACAGCATGTGTCGGTTGTCCTCGGTGGTGGGAGGATATGACGGCATTGTGCAAGTTGTTGGATCCCATCATGGACATGTTGCAGATGGTGGACAGCGACACGAGGCAGATTGGCAAGATTTTACGTCGGTACGACGAGATGATCGTGCGTTGTTTGTCAGCATGTGCCTCGTTTGACAGGGGTGAGCAGGACGCAGTTCTCGAGGTGTTTGACAGACGCCGCACAATGTTCAAGTCGCCTGCTCATATTGCTGCCATGATGTTGGATCCCGAGTTTCGAGAGCGCACGATGCCAGACGACGACGAGATACAGCAGGGTTTGAAAGTCGCTCTTGTTCAGTTCGGGTACCCGGAGGGTTCGGATCAGCACAACGAGGTGCTGGCTGTCGTTGACAAGTTTCACACCAGGGAACCGCCGTTCGACGACGTGGCCATGGACCGAGCGGCGAGGAGCTACACCCATCCAGCCACGTTTTGGGAGTCGAAGGAGAAGAGGTTCCCGCACACGGCCTTCTTTGTCGGCAGGATACTGCGTGTGTGGGCGACTGCATCGCCCTGCGAGCGAGCATGGTCCCGCTGGAGCTTCATCCACTCCAAATCCCGAAACAGATTGGAGGTGGCACGGGCCGAGAAGCTCGTGCGATGCCACTGGAACCTTCGAATCCTCGACAGGCAGGGTATATCAGACGATGCTCCCAACAACAGGCCACATCCATACGGGAGCTGGGTGCACTATTTGCAGCAGGTGGAGGAGGAGGTGCCCACTGACCAGCAGCTTGTCGCCGACAGAGGAGCCCGTGTTGCGGTGACGCATGAGGAGTTGTTGCACGCTAGAGAGAGGATGCGTGCCGTGTCCCGCATGGGAGCCGCTYGTCGTTTGCGAGAGTCAGAGAGGAGGAGACGTCGTGGAGGTGGTCGCGGAGGTGGTCGTCGGGCCGGTCGTGGGCGAGGCGGGCGTGGAGGTCCTGACGGGAGGAGGAGTGTCGCGAGTCGTGGAGTGACGGCGGCCCAGCTTATACGCAAGCCTCGCCAGCGATGGGACGAGGGAGACTTTTTGTACGAGAGCTCATCGAGTGTTGATGAGGATTTCTTCGGCAGTGGCATGCCTGCACAGGATGGCGACAGCGATTTCGACGACCGTCACTTGGACGTGGACGGCGATGACGGCTCCAGAGGCGATGATCGTGGTGATGGGGGAGATCAGCCACGACCTCGCTCGACACGGAGAGACGACGATAGAGGGTTTGACGAGGGAGCGGGACATTGCCGTGTTGATGGTGACGCTGATGCAGGGAGCGGTGCAGTGGCCTCGAGACCTGCAGACGGTGACACCAAGGACGTCCCCGGGGCGGGAGGCGAGCACCGCACAGCCTCGGATGGGGTGCGAGATGGAGCGACTGATGGTGGTGCAGGACTTGTGGATGGCGGTGGCTTGAGGCGTTTGAAGCGCGGACCCAGGGAACGAGACACTATCGCTTCCCGTGTGCGCAGACGTCATGGCGGGGTTCCTGGCATTCCAAGAGCAGCAGTCCCTTAATTTGAGCAGATTCCTGTTTCAGAGGACTCTTTGAGCGACCATGCCGACGAGGAGCGGATGGAGGTGATTGACGGGACCGGTCATGCCGTTAGTGATACTTTCAGTATGCATGCGACAGCTCCGACGGGGTCCTTGGCAGCAATCCAGGAGTCGGAATCGGGTCAAGCACCGTCGATGCGTCATCCCGAGTTGAAGGGAGACAACGGTGTTCTCCAGGTGATGGACGACGAGGGTTCGGCTCATTCAATGCATCAGCTCACTTCTGCTGGAGCGCCTGCATTGTCAGTTGTAGCAACCTCCGATGTGCGACTACCGCCGTCAGCGACGGATCGAGAGATTGTGCCGCTGGCTCCCAGTGCTTTGGATGATCATCCCGATGTAGCCATGGAGGGGGTTGAGAGGCAGCAACCAAGCACACAGGGAGCCGATGCAGATGACACTGTGTCGCGGCCACCACGTGCATTGACGAAGGGGACTGCTGATGTGTGTCTAGGCGACGATCTCCCGGACGTGGTCGTCTCATGCACTCCGGGATTGCCCCACCGGCAGTCTTCCTGGTACCGCCGATTTACTGGCCATGGACTCGGCGCTCGCCTCGCTCCCGGACTTGTCAACGTTGATATCTCCGGGTCTGCCCCACGTGCCTGGGCCCAACCTGCAACAGCCCGTCGCCATGGAACGCGCACCAGGTGCGTTTGACGAGTTTGGAGGCGATACAATTGTTTCTACCACGCCCACGATTTTTCGTGTTGGCAGGCCACATGAGGTGGACCTTGGGAAGGCCGAGACGGCTACTCGACAGCACCGCGGCGGTCACCGCAACATCGCACACCGCAGTTTGTCCGATTCCTTTGGCGTTCCTGAGGGAGGGTGTGTAGGCGGGGCAGATGACGCAGCCGGCAGATCAGCAAGACCCTCAAGTCCGCCATCGAGATCAGAGCATCACCCCATTAGCGGTACTTCCGACGAAGTTACGGGCGTCCCCGCCACGGACACGATGGACCCCACACGACAGCCTGCGGTCGGGTCCTCTTCGACAGCACGGCCTACAGAGCCACTGTTTTGCCGACAGTGGCATTCTATGCCACTGAGGGCAGTGTTGGGGGGTTGGACGAGCCAGGAGCCCGGATTGCAGGCAAACCCTCCGCACCTTGTACGGGGACACGATCCATCGGGAGTGTCGACGGTGCTCGCCACACCGCCATGTCAGAGTATGAGGACCAACATGGGAGCGCCTTGCCGACGAAGACCTCTGATGTCCATGCTACGAGGGCCGCGAAGGCGAGTCTTTCTCGAGCAAGGAAGAAGGCTTCGAAAAGGAAGGCGTCACGCTTGTCGCCACATATGCGATCCCACATTGGGCGATTCGGTGTTGCGCCTCTCGAGGACGGAGAGATTACACCTGATGGCGCTGCGTCGGATGTTGGAGAGAGGCCTTGGGGGGCGGACAGCTTCTGCAGGGAGGGTGCAGGCACTGTAGGACATGAAGTGGCAGGTCAGAAGAGACGTAGCAGTGTACTTATTGTCCACGACGACAACACGGATGTCGCCCCGGGAGAGACCACAGGCACTGATGATGCGGGGGACTCCGATTACGTGCCTAAACCTCGGGGGGCGGACGGAGATATTGGAGGAGGGCGACGAGTGAGACCGAGGACACGACTTGGGCCATCCGGCCAAGTACTGCAAGGCACAACAT